AATTATATATGCAGTGCAATAACTTCAAAACAAATTTGAATCTGTGATAAATTAAATTCAAAGCAAATGAGTTCTGCATAATAGCATTTGAAAAATACTTCCACTTCTGTTTTATGACCACTGTATTCCGCAACAATGAAAAGTTTTTGGAATGGCTGAATAACATCTCATAAAAGATCAGGTATCATTGAGGTATTTAGTTTCTCATGTCAGTGTATTTATATTGTTATTCATATTAATATGTAGGTTTTGAAGACAAAGGAAAATTTCAACCAAAGTATATATATATATATATATACTGGGAACGACACGTTCTTCAAGTTCCTGAGCACTGCGGGTCCCAACTTTTCATTGGCTTGATCTATAGACATTTTGGTACGATTCCTTGGACGAGGGATCGGCCCGTCGCAAGGCCTCTACCTGTACACAGGACAGCACAACACAGAAAAACGCTGACAAACATCCATGGCTTGAGTGGGATTCGAACCCATGGCCCCAGCGACCAAGCGGCAGAAGGCCCATGCCCCAGACAGCGCGGCCACTGCGGACCCCATATATATATAAGTTTATTACTTCCATTGGCAACTTGTTTTGTGAATGGAAAGATGTGTGCAACAGCTCCAGCTGCTCAGTGAGGAGTAATTTTCCTTTTAAATTATTGAATATAAATTTTTCTGTTGTTTGCTTTCATTCCAGGCCATGAGATGTGCAGTTTTGCCCAAACTAAATACAACTAAAGTAAGTTATAGACTATGTTTCTGAGTGATCTATTTGTAAGAGATAAATGCAATTTTTCAGTACTGTAGGAATGTTTGAAAAGTATTTTGACATTTGCTGACCTAAGGATTCTTCAAACTCAGACTTTACATCTAACCTAACCTCAAAATGGTTGTAAGCTATCACCACCTTCAGATCACTGATGATATCAAATTAAGTCTGAAATCAACAAAATTATAACAACTTTAAAAGTTAAAGAACCATTCTATATGAAGTGAAGTAGTTTTGAATTGATTTATTTGCATCAATAAAATAATTGATCATAGATCCTTTGCTGAAACAGTTTGGCAGGGAAGCAATCAATATTGAGGTTAAGTAATTTGCAATCGTTTGAAAATGTGAATCTGATTAAAATTAAAGTCAGAGTATCCTGCAATATATGTACTGTAATCATTGTTTTCACTTTTTTCAGTTGCTTGATGAAGCTGCTTCACTTTATGAACGCCTGTATGGACCCGCAGAATACATTTTGGTTGGTTAGTTGCAGTTATGAATTCAATAAAATATGTCTTCTTCGTGGCATACATAATAAGTGTCACATAACAAAAACAGCACCGAATAAATGATAATTTATGTAAAATAAAAAAATATTATCTCTGAAACCGAGTACATTTGTCTTTACAGGGCCATATGCAGTAATCATTTTCAAAAATGAACATCAATATTGTACCCATTCCTTCTTCATGAATACAAATATCAATTGTGCCAATGAAAGGAGGAGAATATGTTTGAATAAGAATTTATATTTACAATTTTAAGGATGATGCTTAACATGAACAATATAAATATGTTTGGATACACTTCCCACTTAACAAAAGAACACAGCCTTGTCCACTAAGCAATATTGCTGTTTTTACAACTCAAAAGCGGCTGATTTATTTTTCCTGCCAATTTCTTGTCCCATCACCATAAAAAATTGGCAAGTATTTAAATTAAAAGCACGAATACTCTCGTGAAAAGACTAATTCGCATAATGCGGACATGCAAACGCAAATAACAACACCAATGGCCAATCATTGATAAATACGTCATTGTCCATGAAGACTACTAATATAGGCGGCCAACAATTGCCAATTATTCAGACATGAAGAGGAGTGGTAGTGCAACCGAACAGTACACAATCACTACCGGCAAAAATAGTATTTTTTGGAAGTTGTAAGCTTTTATCGAAAATGTTCTCATTTCCTGTTTCATTTGTGTCAGTCTCAGATAAATTGCTTTTATAGGGCAAATTACTGCAACGGTATGAGGAGAAGAGACGCAAGTGTGAGGCACGCAAGACCCTAGGCCATCTCCCACTTCGCCGCCATTGTTCGTGTATTATTTGAAGTCCATCCCGGTATATTATGATACTTGTTTAAAAGTCATGTTCTTTTGTCTTCATAGTTCTTGCCATTTACTGTTTGTACGAGCCTCATATTTATTTGTTTCTCTGTGGTCTTACCCTTGCTTTTCGCCATTAATTCGTTATACTTTGTCCTTAATTTTTGTTCTGTCCACTTTAGGTAAAATAAACGAGGGAAGTTTTTGTGGAAATGTCGCTCTGATCATATTCAAATTTGGAGTTTAGTCTAATGTTCGTGTTATTTTGTCTGCTTTTCAGCTCTTTGCCCAGAAACGATATTTTGCGTCTGAAGATATAGCTACAGCTAGATATTTTGTTGCAGCTTTTGTCGAGATCCTGGTGTCATTGTTTCTATGATTGTTAAGAAGTAAGTTTTAAAAGCGTTTTCTCTTAGTTCAGGGCTGTTTGTTACATTATCATTTATCTTAATTGTTGGGGTCTCTTCTTCTGTAGAATATTTTCCTATTTCCTTTATCACATATTTTCGTTACTATTAGACACCAATTCTGTTCGTTGTAATGCATGCGTTAAAGGAGTTCACATTGCTGTTGGTAGATGGTACTAGTAGTTCTATTCTGGGTTCTGTATCAGAAAAGTCTGCTTCTTGTTAATCATTCCAGGCACGATGGTGTGACTTTTTTATATTCTTGGGGCCTTCTTTAAATATGTGGCTTTTATGTTGTTGATAGGTTCTTTCCGTTCGGTGTTCCCAAATAAGTCTGAAACTGTAAGATGATACGTCTACTTTTGTATTGATAACTTATAGAATAAAGCATTGCTTTTGTAGCCTCGGTAGCGCAGTAGGCAGCGCGTAAGTCTCATAATCTTAAGGTCGTGAGTTCGATCCTCACCCGGGGCATTTTTTCCCTTCAGAAAACAAACTATTTTGTTTTGCATTAAAAACAGCAAAAGGAAACGACTTTTGTATATTGGTTCATTATCGTATTCATAAGAGCCCGTTACAGTACGAGTCAGATGAATCCAATCTACACCTTACTTTCAAAATTTTCTCGTTTCTTCATAGCAAGTTGTATGCTTAACGATCGTGGTTTGATTCTCGACTGCCTCCTCACCAACGGGCACCGTGGTCCCTTTCTGGGGGCGGAGACAATGGACGGGGACTGAAATTTATAGGTTATCTCCAAGGTCAAGAATGAAGACATACCTCCACTCCCTCATATATCTTTATTTCGTGGTAGTTGAGCACCAGACAACATTATCTTCAAGACTGTCTTTATATTCCTTTTGTGTCATAAATATTAGACCTTTTTCTGGGTACTTAAACCATATCAAAAGAACGAAAACTCAAAAGGAAAGTAAATTTGCAGTCCCCGGAGTTGTAAACGTTATTTGCGCTGGAAATTGACAGCATGTTGGAACACTGTGCCGGAAGACGCCTGTTACACGATGTCTGTGTAGTTATCTCCTCTGTGAGTAAATGAGTAGAGTAAACATCGGAAAAGAGAGAAATGTGATGACAACCTATTATCACCAACTTTAAGTAATCTGTGGGTCGCGCACCATTGGTGGTTACTTAACTTTTAACTTTATAATATTTTTGCTATTCTTACTTGAAGTAACTGAAGGAAAAATCAAATGATTTTTCAGTACACCAGCGGAGTGCCCACAGTGTTAATGCGAGATAATTCTATTAACGCTTACATTTCTTATCAAACTTTCGTGGTCAAAATGCCTTATCATTCTATACATATCGTTGGATGTCACGCGAAAAAAATATATTTCTCCTAAACCCAAGAACATTTGTCTTTTCGTAGTTTTACTTTCAAATATATTCGCCACGATTTTTCTCGTTTCCTTTGTATAAATATAAATAGCACTTGGACACTGCCCTTCTTTCTTCTCAGGTTAGCGCAACATGAATTTCTTTAATTTTGAAGTGGAAAACTGAAAAGGGCAATTAAATATTCACCCCGTAGTTTCATGTGTGAAATTAGTTATTAGAATATTAGAATAAGAATTGTTTATTTAAAATCTTTTAATGATAATATTTGACATAAAATATTAAAACTGATTTTCCTTGAAAATGCAACTCCACGCTCTTATGATGAAAGTCGATCAATAACTTTTTTATAAACTGCATTTATTTTTCCTGCTCGCTCGAGTATAAGTGAGTCTTTTATCTTACAGCCTTACAGATTGCAGCTGGCTATTAGCTGTACTGACAGAGGGTTCTGTTGTCATCCTTAGCCCCTCTAGACAAATGGTGGGATAGTAATATATTTAAATAGGTCACGACCACTTCTTACAAATTTATTTCGAAGTCATCGTTCATAATCATTTTATCGTTCAACCTTCTGTAGCCTGTTCGATTCAGGAAGGGTTAACTAAACAAAGATCATTTTCCCCCCCCTATCCTGTAGTTTTACCTGAGGTATTTAGAAATATAATCGCTCATTCGCCAAGAGCGAGTTAATGGAGAATGTGTGATATTAGCTTCTCAAGAAAGATTCTGTCCCCATGGAATTATAGTGGACGCAAAATAACTCTAAGCTTGTCATAGAAAGAATGGGAAGGTGAGATGAAAAGGGCAAGGAGGAGCAATGTGGTAAAAAGTCTGTCTGAGCATGTATAGTGTAACTGAAAACATTTCTTCCCTTTTTAATTAGTATTAATTTCACATCCGGTAGTATGCAGAGAACGTCATTTCTCTGCATGCGCTGTAGCTTCGTGATTTATCCCTCCCTCCCACTTGTGTATTCTTAACGGTCATCCAATCTCGGATTTATTTTGCATCCAGTGTACATGCTGAGACTTCATGAATACTGTGATTAGGCAAGCGGTAAAGATTAGGCAGTTTAAGAGGCTTATGAGGCTACAGTGCCTGGCCGCTGCGTGGCTCTGCCAGTCGACAGGCTGCCACTAGAGCTACAGTTTGGCGCGGGCTGTCGCCGGCGTAGAAGTGTGTCGAGAGATTCATTTCGAACGAGATGTTGGTGGTAGACGCGGGTTGTTCCACCCCGGGCAGTGCATCTCCCTCTCTCTTGGATTCACCCACTCTTGCGAGGGTGCAACGTGCCCGATTACGACAAGAGGGTAGCGCAAGTGTTGGTGGGGTCGGCGTAGGGGGTACTTCACCCCTGCACCATGCAGCCTGCTGTCAGGTATTTCAACACACATTACTACTTTACGAATATACTTATCTGTGTTTGAGTGACATGCAATGCTGACGAGCTATGAACTGTATAAATTTTGGCACTGATATGACTCATTATCAACTGCAGGTATGCTGTTCCTTGAGTTCTGGATATTTTCAATACCAATATCGGCCAGAGGTTGTCCGAGGTTTTCCCGAAATTGGCTAATGCCGCCTACTCCCACACTTTTACCGGTTCAATAACAATCGATTATCATATCATGTATGATCGACATCAACCTATTGTTTGTGTTGCATTTAACTTGTTTGTGCTGCTGTTAAATAAACCGGTGAACATTAACGGAGGAAATTTTTTAATCGATTTTCGAGATATTTTAAAATGCCTCTAGACATGGTCATTAATTTTTGTGTTCAAGGCTGCTGCTTTTAAAGACATGCAGAGACTAGACTCAACTGCGAAGTAATTTAGGTAAAAGCTGTGAATTGCTCACCATAAATAATGCTTATTTCATCTCATTGTATTCAGTATACTATACAATGTAGCCTGTATTGAAGGTTTCTGCGGATTCGCACCAAGACGATAAGGATTAATGGCAGTTCCTCGTAGGGAAAACCGAAAATAATACGGTGGATTGCCCAGTAGGATGCCCATCTTCCTGTCACGAATAATGTCGAAATCTTTATAAATGTTTTTGAATTACAAACGTGTAGAAAGCTCAGGTGTGAAGCAAACGTAATACGAAAGTTTTAATAAAAAATCATAATCGATTACTGTGCCGACAATTCACCTGCCTTTCGGGAAATATTTCAATTTTGATGTTGTTTCTCAAACGACGGAAGTCGTTCGTGGAGACAAAGTTGTTATCAGATTGTTATTTTGCGAGTTCCCAACTCTGAAGGGCGACAATTAAAACAGTCGTACTGTCTGTCCACCCGTGCGCACGTAGCAACTACAGTGTGACCGAACGGATTATCATGAAATTTGGTATTGAGAGGGGAGAATTTAACGAAAAATTGTCGTGCCATTTCAGTCGTCAGACGGTTTCAAAGACTACCTAAACGAATAGTGACGCGTTGTGTTTTGTTTGAGGTAATAACTGATTTTTTAATTTTGGAATTCTGCTGAATATTTATAGGAGTGAAAAATGTTTTAAACAGACGTTTTAGAGAAGAAGGAAAAATACTTTTTGTACCAATACAAATTTTCCATAAATGTTGCTGTTATAGAGTATCATGGATTGATGTTGTTGTTGTTGTTGTTTTGTTGTTGTTGTTTTTTTGTTTCTTTTTTTCTTTTTTCTTCTTCCAAATTGTATATCGCTCGTTTGCTGCCCCATTTCAAACGCAGGTAACCGTAATTCAGTTCTAAAGGGTTCTGACGATGGTGGATTACATTTAAAACTGTTCACTATCTGGACTTTTCCCCATTGTCCTTGTTTAAAAGAAACATACCACGACGTTGGATGACATACGTTGTCCATTGATGGAGATTCGCTTCTTCTGACGGACGCAACTGAGTAGGTGCCTCTCACCTGAAGAGACAGTTTCCGAAACGTCGTAGTTTATTCTTTTGAACAAGGGTGATGTAAAAAGTCCATATATGAATAATTTTAAGCAGATAACCGTATTTAACTGAACTGAAAATCCAGAAGCAATCAGACATCGAACGCGCTGTAATTGTTAAGTTACGTCTAAATTACTCGACTTGTTTTAACTTTTGGAGAACTTCGTCCTGCTGATTCGGCTATTTAAAAAAAATGCTTTACCGTGTTGCAATTCGGGAAGGCTCGTGTAGTGGCCTGAGAACTAAATGGTTACATTCACTTTGAGTCTCATTAATGCACTATAATTCAACGATTTTACAATTTTGATAGTCCATAATCAGTCCATCTCCATGATACTGAAAACTATTTTACAAATTAGAACAAAATTATTTCAAATTGAGGCATAGGCCTACATAACTGAGTAAGGAGATCAACGTTTGCTATAGCTAATTCAAGATCGCGTAAGGTTTGGTACTGTATGGACAGAAGTTTATAGAAAAGCTAGAATCGCGAAATATTGGCAGCAGCGTGTGTTGCTGGAAATTTGCAAGCTTCCACAGATGACGTTAGGGAGTATTTTGACCATCTCTGCCTTCAGCTGATGTCCCTAAGGAGTAAATATTATGCCCTCTCTTAAACGTATTCGTGGGACGCCTCAGAATATTTTGTCTTCCCGTAGTTGTTTATAAAACTCATTAAGCGGGTGTGAAACTCGTTACTCGTTTGAAGGCAAGAACACAGATCTGGGGTCTGTGATAACAGGGTCCTGAGGGCAGTGTTTGAGCTTGTGAAAGATGAAGCAGTACGAGGCTAAGAAATTTGCAGACGATAACCATGATGCATCCACAACGTTCTGTGTTTGGATGAAGAGAAGGGCGGACATGTAAATACATACAAAGGTTTGGTTGGAAAACACGAAAGAAAGCTTGAAAGACCAGGCGTTGATGGGAGGTTAGTTTTGGGCTGGCTTTTGAAGGACGTCGACTGGACTCATCTGGCTCAGGATAGAGACTGAGGGCAGTGAACCATAAAAGACGGAGAATTTGATGACTAGCTCACTGGCTTTCAAGGACTCGCTGAGCGGAGTTTCAAACACGAAACAGATTTTTGTATTTATTGTATTCATGCGCGTATACAGTACTTTGCACATCCGCATGGACTTACGAGGCCAGTTTGTTTTCCTCGGCGTGGTTACGTGGCCCGGTTGTGCTTAGGTTATCATAGGATGTAATTTTAGTACGTTTTATTTCGGAAGGAAAGTTGTTTGGTTTTTAAATCTAGAGTAATGAACAGTCCCGTCAAGTACGGTGTTTTGATGTTTCCAACTTATGAACTCAGTGCGCTGTTGGAGTTCGATATAATTATTAAGACATTTTATTTTAAAAAAGAGCTAAAAATTACCCTTTGGATGGATTTACTGGCTAGGATGGTTTGAAACAGTGATAAGCTTACTTTATCTATGTTTCTTTTCTGTTTCGCTTTTTAATACGTCATTTGTAATGTTCAAGAGAAGGGGTGGTCAGGAATTCAATAGGAGGCGTCATTGTTCGGTCTGTGCTGATGAAATTACTTTATCGGACAATGAAAGTGATAACTAAATGCAAGGAATACGTAAATACGTGATTCACTACCAGAATGCGGGAAAATCGTAATATAACGATAACTAATAAACAATCTTAAGGTCAGGCGAACTGGGGAACAACAATATTTTTATTCCCGTCTTAAGCCTACCTAAAAAACTAAATATTAAAATGAGGGTGAAACTTGGTATTATTGCTTCTATTAGCAGAACTTACATCTAATATGAAATCTGGTGCTTTAACGGCAGTGAAATGTGGATCGTGGTTTTCTGGGTTGTGATGCCGTGTTGTCGGTCTTCCAGAAACTCTGTGACGTCAGAGCACGAAGTTCTGAGAAGAATATTAGGACATGGGAAACGATGAGAAACAGGAGGATGGAGAAAATTACAAAAGTGGGAGCTTTACATTTTTAATCTTGTTCTGATATTGTTGGTGTGATTAAATCTTGTGACGTTAGATGAGTACGGAAAATAGCACGCATGGATGGATGAGAAATTCATACAAAATTCTAGTCGAAATATTTCAAGCGAAGAGGGTTCTAACAAATTAATAAGCGGTATTTGCAATACAGGGTTAGACGGGGTGCGATGTGTTAGCTGGCATGGAACAGAATCAAGTGGTTGGGGGTTGTAAACACGTTGATGAGGGAGGGAATTTGTGACAATAAGCTTTTTAAGAAAAATTCTGCGTTGGGGATTAAAGAAATTGGTTTGGTCAGATGATTTGTAGAACCTCCCCTAGATGAAGCCCAGATTATGCGTCAGACTGAAAGAAGTAATTCAGATAAGCTGACGGATTGACGCAGTGTACTATGTAATAGTAACCCTCACCTAAAATATCCCACCCTACCCTACTATAACTTGACCCAACCAAACCAAACCTTACCCGGTAGAGAATGGAAACTTACAAATTCATGTATTTTTTCTCATTCCCGTGGGACATTTTCGGCACTCACTCGCAGTGAGGTACCTTAAAAAATTATGTCATTTTATTGCAACAGAAATGAAAATGTTAGAACTACACAGGAAAATATTTGGACCTAAGACAGACATTTTTACGAAACAAGGAATAATTTGGTTTGTGCAACTTATCTAGTTCTGTGAGTGTAATTGGATGTGGGTAGTGGAATAAGAGAAGGCTATGATAGACTGGGCATGCAGCTAGAATAAGATAGGCAGGGAGTGAATATAAAATTTTGGTGAGATAGAACTTAGAAAATATCCAACCGTAAGACCAAGAATGAGGTGAGAGGATTATCATTTACAGAGATTGAACTGGCTCAGATTAAGTGCAGTGACCGGCTTTTGTGTTAGCGGTGTTGAATGTCCGGGTTCTACTAACACATTTAATGGAAAACAATCTAGTTTGTGTTTAATATTATCATCCCTCCTTTGATGTCACAGTGATTATTTGTGCTTTTGGTTTCATTAAACGCGTTTTAGCAGTGAAAGTCCGTTCTGAAGAGTTATTTAAATCCGTTCATCGGCGGCAGACATGGACAGCCACGCAGGTAGACTACCCGAGCTAGTAAGTGAAATCGTTCCTATGTCAAATACATCTACTGGGTTACAGACAGTTTTGAATGGCTCATGTGAAGACCTGTCCAAACAACACAAACTGCCAATAGATCACTCAGAACGCGGGTACCATAGCAGGATGAAGTTTTATTAGGAAGGACTCTTCATTTTCTTGTAACGTAATATATTTGTAAAACTCCTGCAAGCGGCTCTCGCATCCATCATTCAACTGTCTGCTCTCAATGATTGTAGACTGGCCAGTCCCCGTTCACCGTACAAGGTTCACAAGCTCCATTCCTCTGGAGCAATTTCGTGCATCGAAACACTATTAGCGACCTGCGTGTCTTGTCTGCGTTCCCTGATCCA